TCCCGCCAACCCAGCGGTTCAAAAGCGTTGATTAACACCTTTGCGCAAGTAGATGAATGGGTACCTACCTTAGAGGGTAGGGGGCACCCTCCCCTGTCGAGGGGGTTGGAAAGCGGACGGCGCAGGCGCGGCGGAGCCGGAAGGACAGAGCTGCAGCCGCACCGGAGCGCGCCGCACATCGGAGGGGCCCAGCTGACCCACCGCAGGAGTGACCGTCGAAATGGAGCCAGAAGACAGCCGAGAGACATCGAGCTGAGGAACGCCGACCCGAAGACCATCCGGTACCTCCACTGGGTGCTGATAAGGACTGCCCCCCACCCTGTGTTCTGTGGCCATTCGGAGGGGCCCAGCTGACCCACCGCAGGAGTGACCGTCGAAATGGAGCCAGAAGACAGCCGAGAGACATCGACCTGAGGAAGGCCGACCCGAAGACCATCTGGTACCTCCACTGGGTGCTGATAAGGACTGCCCCCCACCCTGTGTTCTGTGGCCATAGATTAGGTATGAGATTCAAAAGTGTAAGCCGCTCAGAGACCCCTTAGCGGGGGTTCGAGCGGGGTAATAAATCGGGGGGGGAAAAACTGGTTGGCCACTGTAAGACAGGATGCTGGACTAGATGAACCATGGTCTGATCCAGGATTCTTTGTTCACTCTTGTATATGGAAAGTGCACATTAATTTAATGGGATACATGTGGAGATGTAAAATTTCTGGGTATTTTGACATCACAGGAAAAGAAACTTTCCAGGGGTTGCGGGGGAGGCTGAAATACATGCAATACTTTTCTATCAAACCTAAACTACGTTTACCAATTTAGGAACACACAACACATCACTTAGAAACTTAACATATAAAATTCTATCCATCTTACTGATGAAATTTAAAAGTATAAATGTCTTCATCTGAAAGCTAGGAAAAATAATACTTGAAGGTAGAAAACAAATTCTGCAGTAAACAAAAGAAAAATACTTGAAGACAGAAAACAAATCCTATGGTAAACACAATAGAAAATATTATTTGTACAGACATATGTACAAGTCACAATAGGAAAGACTACCGGCATATGTTCAACCAGCATCAAATCTAGTTCAGTTCAAATTTGCCATCTCTGTCTACTCCATGATTGCACCTGGAACACTGCCCCTACAATTGCATGTTTGTACACACAAAGTTCCCTGGAACCTGGGTTGTGGGGACCCGCACAAGAAAGACCCCTTAGCACATACTTGAAGGTAGTAGGTGTTCTTGTTGATCACAAGCTAAACATAAGCCTGCAGTGCGATGTGGCTGTGAAGAAAGCTAATGCAATCTTAGGATGCATAAACAGAAGCACTGTGTCCAGATCAAGGGAGGTGGTAGTTCCGCTCTATTCTGCTATGGTCAGGCCACACCTGGCGTACTGTGTCCAGTTTTGGGCACCACATTTTAGGAAGGATGTTGACAAGCTTGAGCGTGTCCAGAAGAGGGCAACCAGGATGGTGAGAGGGTTGGAATCCAAGTCTTATGAGGAAAGGCTGAAAGAGTTGGGTATGTTTAGCCTGGAAAAGAGAAAGCTTAGAGGGGACATGATTGCAGTCTTCACGTATTTGAAGGGCTGTCATGTAGAAGATGGAGCAGATCTATACTCTCTTGCTCCGGATTGCAAGACTAGATCAAATGGGTGGAAATTACACTGATGGTTTACAATAAAATATTTCTTGCATACAGGTTAAGAGGCTAGTGACACTTTGCTGAGCACAAACAGGGCAGCTGTCCTAAATTTATTCCCTATACACTTGTTTTCTGGCCTGCTCCTTATTTTTATGGCAAATTCTAATGACAAGCTTATGGAGGGAGAAGTCCATTCTAAGCACTGAAAATTCCAAAACTATTAGGTAGCTGCTCTCTGTAACTGAACTTTATTTTTGTAACAGTATTCCATTACTACAGTACAGCAGAGTCTCTCGTTCCAATGTCTGTAGGGCAGTACCATAATAACATCTTCCCTGTTTCTTTTTAAAAATTAAAATCTTTGATAAAAGATCACACCAGAATATTGTTACATTTTTCCTTTATTTGTGTCATGTAACTTACAAGGAATTGAAGAATAGCTTGATGCGTGACAGAAGCAAAGTTTTATACAGGGTTATAAATAGAAAGCAGTATTACAGAAGAAAACAGCTTGATAAAGGATAGGTCTATCATTGGGTATTTTACCTAAAAGTGGGACCCCCATGTACAGAGAGTGTGTATACCCAGTTACCAGGTGCTGGGAGGGGGGGCTAGTTATCACTAGCAAGCAATGTCTGTGCATTTCTAGAGGCTGTCCACTCTTGGACACTTGGTCTGGCAAGGAAATTCTTAGCTTTAATAACCATATATAAGAACATAAAAAATTCCAACTCACACTTAGAGGAGGACAGCAGGCACTGCACATAACCCACACAAGTGGCTTGCGCCTTATATGCAACATGTCCTCAGAATAGGGGATTGGCTGACAGGCACCCAGACGCATTTAAGGTCCACATGCCTAACAAAAAAGGGGTATAAAAATAATTTTATATTCCAAGACCCTTAATGTCTGTTGTAACTTTGCTTAAGAAAACATCCTAGTAGCGTTTTCATGGAGTAGCCATCCTAGTCTGGTTTTGCTACGGAGTCTTGTGGTATCTGTACAGAAGCTCCTGCACTGCATTCACCCAAGTGCCGGGATCCATGGGGTGACTCAAGCGTTCAGCCACATGCACGTAAACCAGGACACACATACTTTCCAGTGTGCAATTCCAAGGTCAGTCAGACTGCGTGTACTTCTCTGACATGGTCCTAAAACTGCAAGGTACCACAAATACAAAAGGCTACATGAAGACTAATAACAAAGCAAGGCAGAAGTGCAACTCCAAGACTCACCTATAAAACTACTTGGGAACCAAAAAGGCCATGGCACTGAACGACATGGGGAGAAAACTGGAGAGACGTCGCTATTTCACCAGAAGTTTTGTGCACCAATACAACGGTCATCTACCTTCTAGCTCAACTACAAGAATCTAACTGTGACAAAATAAGTTTTCTAGCCAACTTTGGAGGTGATAGGACCTACACAAACAGGAAACCTTTCTACTTTGAAAGGCCTTCTTTTTACAGCCTTCATTCCGCTAAACTCTGAAGAGCGAGAAGTGCCTCCAACCTGTGTCTGGAAAAAGCAACTCATCTGCCTCAACCAAGCAGTGGGAGCACAGCATGGGAAGAGGCTGTCCTTCCTCCTGTACACCCCCCCACACACACCAGTTCCAAACCCGTTGGAGCCAGGGATGGCAGCAGGACAGAAAAGGGGCACATCCTTCCCGCTTAATGCCACCAGCACCTCTCTGCAGCTCACTGGAGGTGGGCAGCAGCAGCAGTACAAGGAGAATGCATTCCCTTCCATGTCACTCCAGGGCTGCACGACAGACAAACTCCTCAGTCTGCCTCGGACCCAACTTGGGAGGAGACAACAAGCTCAAGCCATGCCTGGCACCTCCTCCTGTATGGCACCTCCTCCCAGTTTCGTGCTCAAAGTTGCTGTTTAGGTAGTAAAGTGAACCTGAGCAAAAACTGATGACTGGCAAGAATACAGAGGGAATGATCCCCCCTTGTACATAAAACTTCACAGTGCTCCATTTCTTTGGGAGAAGACAGTTACAGTTTTGAAGGGCTATAAACATTAATATGAAAGGCCAACATAAAAATTTATCCCCCCATAAGAGAGGTGTTTGTGGATTAAAAGATCCCACCAATAACAGAGATGCTTGTGGATTAAAATATTTTACTGCTATCATCATCAGGAGAGATCTAACCTTTTACTTTAAAAATACTACACTTTGAACCACAATTTTATTTAGTCCATGGAACTAATAAAATGTTTTACTCCATAATATAATTGCGTATATCCAAATAGATCTCTGAAGTTGCAATCTCATACATGTTTACCTGGAAGGAAATCCAAATACTTTCATTAAAATAATTCTGTGTAAACATGAATAGGATTGACTGCAAACTGGCAGAACAATAATCTTTTCACAAGCCTTCAAACCAGTTACCTAAAAGGAAACTTGTACAGGAATGTAATATTTGAAATGTCAA